TTACCTATTCCTGCTTAATCCATAGTATATTTTATTCTATATCAAAGACCAATTTAATTCTTAATTCCAAATCGTAAAATAAATAAATTAATTCCTTTGCATTTAATTTATATTTTATGCTACTCTTCCTCGAAGTTCCAATTCCAATTTAATTATTTCTTCCAATCCCCCGGCAGTGACCCGTTCAGACCTCGGAACCAGCAGGTAGCAATTACCCCAAGGTATTAAATGACCTCCCCGACCCGGACTTGTTTAATTCTAACAACCACAGCTAAATCAATTAGAAGCTCGGAGAAGTAAACCAGTCTAACTTGACCCTTCAATCGGGGATAAAGGCTTCCTGCTTTTTGATACAAAATTAAACGCGATTTATATTGATGGATGAATGGATGGATGGATGGATGGATGGATGGATGGATGGATGTTTGTTAGAGTTTGTAGCCAAAACGGTTAAACGGGTCTCGATGAAATATGGCATAGATGTAGAGGATAGTCTGGAAGAACACATAGGCTACTTGTATATGTTTTTGATTAATTCCGGACGGAGTCGCGGGTGAAAGCTAGTTTGTTAAAATAATGATAAAACTTACAACAAACACAAGAATTAGAAACAATTCCGTTTACGTTTTATTTCCTTTTTACTTTTTCTATAAATTACCACTCAATAATAGCAATTCTTGATATGACTGTTGATGGGCTAGTATAAGAGATTTCGATTTACTATTTTACCGCCTTTGACCATAAAAGTTATCTAATAATAACAAACAGTCACAATACTATTATATCTGATCTGAAATTGATTCTTAGTTATAACATAAAACGGCAGTTATGATGGAATGGTACGACCATTGTGCTATTTACTCGTAGATATCAAGCATCGTTAATATACAAACGTATCTCTGATAGCAATTAAAACTTTCAACATGAGTTGCATCGCTAACTTTATTTGCACACTTAAACGCTATCTAAGTAGTTAGAAACTGCCGTAACACAAATCACTCGGTTAACTCAACTTATAGTTAACTAATTACCACTATAAAAGTTATCGTAATAGCGACCTTCTCGGTACGCCATACATTTCGCCAATAACCACAAGTTTTCTTCATACCTATGTAATGAAGCCGCGTCTCACACATAGCTCGCATTGTTAACAATCGACCAGTATACATAGACCTCTATGAATTCAAAACAATAATTTTCGCCGTTGAAGACTTGGAGATCATCTCGACTAGTCGATTACAATGCTCGAGGATCGGTAACTGGGCGTTTTCGATTCGTATTAATTCGGATGCGTTCGGTCGAAGTCGTCCCGCCTACTTGCGCGTGCGCAACTCTTTGTCCTACTCTTTTCCATTGGAAAGTCGTTAGTCTATCTCGGTCTGTCATGGCGAGCGCACGCCACTCCCAAAGGTCGGCTTAGGCTGGGTCCAATTATTGCTTCTAAGCTTTTTGCGCGCCACGATCTGTATGATAAGCTTTCTGTTTTAATAATAAAATTAATGATTTAATCTCTGTTAGTGTTCTTAAAACAAAGATAACCACGCCCTCTGTGTGAATTAAGTAGACGACTTTTATGTTTTTGTTAAAGATTTTTTTCAATATTTATTTTATACTTTGTAAACAACTAATTACACTACAGTCCCTAAGTTAAAGTTTGACATCATAACAGAAGTAATTTTCTTCACAAACGAACACAATAGAAAAAATTTGGAGCAAGTAATTAATATAAGTAGTATAATATCAACTGAGTGAGTAAGCAGTAATATAAAATTAAAAACCAATTGTCCCGTAAATAGAAATGTACTTAAAATTGATTATAAAAAGAAACCAATTCATATACACCTTACATTACTTTGGACTAATGCTAGTATGCGGTTTCTCTTACATCTTATTTAAATATTTAATATAGTTTTATTATCATTGCGTTCTAAAAAGAAGTAGTCATTGTTCAATAAATCCTTTAGCGTAAATTTTTCATACTTTTGCTCGCATAGTCGTTAAGTAGTCCCTGAGTGCAGATTTAGTAAGAGAAGGGACCGTTCAAGTAATTAAATTACTCTATATAGCAGCTGGTGTCATATCAAGCTTCCACTGTAAAAGGTTTTAAGATCTTCTTGTGTTTTCTGTAATTGCCGTCCATTCTAGAATCATCTCCCCTGCCTTATCCTACTCCTGTAGGGTCGGCGCACCGGGTTTTCGTCCTCCAAATAACTCTATCATCCGCCATCTCAGTCATCACTCCCTTCTTGATCATGTCACCATTCACGCAATCCATCTAGAATCGTTAATATAAATATATTACCTAAGTTTATTTAGCTATAATTGTAGAATATTACAATCATACAAGGGAACTTAGTTCGTATATTCGAAGCAGAGCAGTGGTGGAATGGCGAGCGGCTGAGATATAATTACGGGATGAGTGCAGCCGAACCGTCAGCTCTAAATATAAGCCGCGGCCCTGCTTTAAGCTTAATACCAATCTTTATAATGTAATGCTGCCCGACGATAGTAATGTTACTTTCTACATCGACATCGAGAACTATTATTTTACACTACTCAAGTGATTTCTTTTTATTTTATAAAAAAATTAAATGCCTTTCTATTGTAGTTAAGAAATAAAAAAAACATTGTAGAAACTAAACAATAAGCAATGGTTAAATTTTACTTTATAATTAACTGTTATATCCGAATTATCAAAGATAAGTTTGATGCATCTGCTAATTTTTGTTTTGACTAATTGTAACACGTATACAAAATTATCGATAGTGTTCGTTCACTAATCGTAACACATCGATAAACCGGGCACCATAACTCGGCCGCGCTCCCTGTCGTAATTTATCGATAGGGCGCATCACTAGCCGGGAGCAAAGGTTCCGCAGAGGGCGCAGGCATCAATTTGCGCGGTAGCCGCCGCGGGCGCCGCCGCCCCTGTCATTAGCCCGCGCCGCCCCCGCATCCCCATCCCCCCTTCAACCCAAAGGAACATACTTTAACCTTTTTTACTCCTCTCCCCTGTCTCCCCTACAACCTGTTCCCGGGATGCTGCTGTGGCAACACTGACGCAATTTAAACATCGGTTCATGGCCGCGGGCGATACGCAGTATCTGTAACCTGTTAACCGCACGGCCTAAGTAAAACGCAATATGCCCGACGTATTTAAAGCCATCGCTCCGGGTCCCAGCGCCCGGCGCCGGGTTACCAGCTTGCCCGCCACTGCGTATGTAAGGAATTTACTTTATATTCCAATGGCTTTTGTGGCAAACATTACTTGCATTAAAGATGGTCGTAACCTTAACAGTACTACATCGCTGTATATTGAAACGGGGACTGGATGTGACAATTTGGGCAATGTTTTTCAAACATATAAAATGTATTAAATAGTTTTTACTTGTTAATGTTGTATGAATGAATAGATATTTCCACGAAATAAACGAAATGTGCTTTACAGTAATATTAAACAAATAGACTTATTATTGTTTCTGGTCTTTCTTACAATAGTCAACCTAATTTCATGGACCGACAAACAATTTCTAACAATTACACTTGCGGTTTTCTTTTTGGATGTAGTAACAAAAAAATGGACAAATTCCTTGAGGCTCAGACACATATAATTTACTCCCCCAATTAAACAATTTTCTCCAATATCATTCCGTTTGATTTGGACGATGCTCAGGTCGGTTCTGACTCCAGGGCACGGGCATTAGAGGGTCCCGAAACGATTCCACATCTCGGTAACCCCCATTAAACATAAACATGCCCTCGAACCACACCGCCTCGGAAGGTTACGAGGGTCAGGCTCCGTTCCACTTTATTCAAATCGGATTTACCTCGAAGCTATGCGAGGAGCCCGCTCGCTGTCCAGTCTCTAATCGATTTTGCATAAAAATAAATTTGGCCGTTTTGTTGAGCATCAAAGTGGTAACGAGTATCGAGATGATGGAACAAAACGACTGCTGCAAATTGACCCGTCCTTCGGAGAGAGACGCGGGCGCGGCGACCTGTCGCCGCTAAATAATTCCGTTCCCATGCGCTAGCCACCGGCTATCTCGCTTTAATTATTCATAGACTTTTTTATCCGCTACCGCTTTTTACCGCTCGACGGCCGCCCGGTTATTTCTTCGATGCTATTATAAAATTAAAAAGAATAAAATAATCGAGCGGCCGGCGCAATTTAAAAAAGGAATACGTCGGATGACACGGATCGAACTCCGGGCAAATGTCGCGCGGTAAAAAGTGGTCGAGCGTGAAGAGCGCGCGGGGGCGGTCGGTGCGGGGAGCGCGGGGGGCGCGGGGCGGGCGGCAGGACGTCACGTAGGCGCTCGCTTTTTGTCAGCGTTCCCGCGGAGATGACAGGTCGCTGGACGCTGCGGCCGCGACCTGCGTCATCGCGACACGCCAATCTTGATGCTTGCACTTTTCTTGTCGGTTTTATTTCTAATTTCCGTTCATCTAAATTGATTTTTTTTTTATTCAATGTCCCGAAATGTTTTCTATTTTATTTTTTGGGCACACCTGTACAATTTAACGAGTTTTTGCGTACATCGTTTCAGTATGAAGGAAGCTTTAAATGGTCAATAATAAAATGTCACCGCAGACATGTAGCTGTATATTTAAATAGTTCAAAACGTTTATTTTACTAATAGTACAGTATATCAAAAATAACAAGTATCAAGATTAGTTGCGTATAGTGTTTGGAATGACCACGGCAGGTGCAGTGCGAAGGACGATCGGACGCGAACCCGGCCGCTAATAAACTTCCTACAGATTCTCACACAGGGCTAATACAAATCCAATCAAAGCGTCCACGATTAAGATACTTTTAAATTAGCTGAAGTAATTAACAACAGATTTCCCGCCGGACAATTACAAAGCACATAATAGAGCTATAAAAATAATAGCTGCAGATTATCGAACTTTATTAATCAGACTAGACATAAAATATATTAAAACCAACTTAATTTTTTTGGTATTGGAATTGACAGTAAATGTTTATTTTACAGAATTTCCGTGAGCAAAGAATCGACGGTGCAGGCCTGCCTCTCTTAACCGAGGAGCATTTAACGGGCATGCTTCAGATGAAGTTAGGACCGGCGCTGAAGTTACGAGCAGTGGTGGCGCGGAGACTGGAGGCGTGTGCCAGTTGCCAGCCAGCGTCTGCCAGCACCACCGCCACGGTCACACCTGCCACGACACCAAACACCACGCCGAGGCTCAATGGAGCCGCACTAAAGCCTGAACCGAGGAGTAATTCAACGAGCCCCAGCTAGAAACTATAAGCTAGATTTCGTAACAGTTTCAAACCGCTTACAAGCCCGCGCAAAATGAGGAATGTAGGCGATGCATTTACGAAGTTGTTACAGTATTTAATTGCAACACGACTGTTTCTCACAGCCCTTTTATTTTTAAAATCACTGACACATCACATTAGCTTAGTTTTTAATACAGACTGTGTAGAGGTTATGAATTAACATCTGGTAATACGCGGTAATTTTTTAATACAGAAACTATGTAGATACTGTTTTATATTTTAAAATAATGTTTTTAATTTTTAATCAACTCGTAATTTCTGTAATATTATATTACGGCAGAATAATATCCTACCAAAATCTACCTTTTTGGTAATAAAAGTTACTATTTTAATGTTTTAATCCAGTGAAGTTATATGACTAGGAAATATGGCAAGGTTTTTATAACGCCTTATTGAAACTATATATTTAGTCATCGAATCCAGATTTGATAGTCTTCCAGTTTTGTAAGTAGATTTTGCATTTAGATACAACTTAAACTTAGTAATAACTTGATATTTTAGTATTGTAAATACCTACATTTGTTACGTGTTGCCGTCCAAATAATTACATAGCATTTTGGAATATCTTGTATGTTTTCATCTCAAACGTGTGTTAAAAAATAATCGATAATTTTTTTAAAAAAGATGTGGCTAACGTCATGCAAAGAGCTTATAAACATACGAACATTTCGTATTTTTTTCATTTTGTAATAACATATTCTTCGGTGCTAAATGACCCTGGTAGATATAATTAACTATTACTATGTAGAATAATTGTACATAAAAGCCTTATTGTATAAAAAATAATATTTTTGAGGCTACCTACAAGTATACAGGGTCACAAAGATACAATCTGTATATAATATAAATAATATTGTTAGATTGTTTGTATAATTTTGTCGCATACATAAATAGCATTTATTTATATCACACCTGAAGAAAGCTCAGTATATAATGTACCGAATAACTTGAGTAGCGATGTATTTAGTTTTTAATTGTAAAAACTGACTTCAATGCATAATAACTTCTAATAACCTTACTATCAGAATATTGTTGTAAAAACGTCAATATTTGATGTGAAGAAGGAAGTTTTTACCTGTGGTAATCTCCGTATTTGCCAAACTAGTGTATTAACTAGACAATTTATAAAAGCAGATTTAATAATAATTATAGATCATTAATGACATATTTTCGTTTTAAAATTAAATAATCTGACATATAAAATAGATAAGAGATATATAAAAAAGACAATAAAATCACATGGTGCTATTTGGGTAATATTTTTAAATTTTAAAAGTGCCTTTTATGTCTTCCTTTGTAATAAGAATGTTCGATGAATATTTTCAAAAAGTATTACGGATATATGCTTTAAATTTGTCGTCATGATACAATAGTATAGATATCAATATTATATTTGAAAGATTGTTGAAAGGTGATTCAATAGTAAGCGTGTATCACATTTTGTTAATTAACTTAGTTATACGGACCAGTGACTTATTGTAAATTTGTACCTATTAATATATAATTTGTGTTGTGTAATGTAATCAAACATTTAAACATATAGACAGATTTATCTAAAAAAAATAACCTCAAAATTTATCTTATAGTAAGTATCACAAGAATCAGAAGTTTAAAAAAAAACATAATTTTAGTATTCTATTTTTAAAAGTGAGAAGTAAATGAAAGACCTTTTTTGTATTTAAGTAAAAGTTTTTAATCCTCTGAAGAATATGAATCAAATATTGAATTAATAAAATAATGAAATCTCTTTTGTCTATATGTTTAAATGTTTGATGTAAATAATAATTTCAATTTAAAAAGCAAGTGTTCGGGACAAGCTTGTAGTTTACATGTTCATTTAATATTTCTAAATAAATTTAAAAGAAGCATTTCAGTAAACTGTATCACTTCGGTATAGTAAGGCATGCAGTAAACAACAGAGTAAAAAATTTTTCTTGTTAATATATTGCATACTTGTTTATTTGCATGTCTTACTTTACGGTTGCACTTACTCTATGGCTTATCTAAATCACGTGGTTCTTTTTTTTTATAAAATTACATATATACATATAAAATGTTTGTATAAACATGAACTTATATTACTGAATGGTGTTTTTTACATGTATTTTAACCCTTAAATGCATGATTTTTTATTTAATTATAAAATCAATATTTCAGTATAGGTTTTGAGACATAGATTAAGGGAAAAATAATTTAAAAATCTTGGTTTCAATAAAAACTATAATTTTGTTTGTAGACTTTTGGCAACAATATGCATTTAACGGTTAATTGTTATGGTACTAAAATATTTTTTAAAATTAAATCTGATAATAACTGCAAGCTTGTCCCCTTCGTGTCGTTAGTTATTTTATTAATAACTTTATCGGCTTTCTACGAAGTTTTAGTCAATTCTGTTTACCTTTCTTCATAGCATTGTGTAGTACTTAGATTTGTTAGCTTTTTAGCTATAAGAGGATTAAGTTCAGTCCAAATTTTTAAGTATTTATGTGAAGAGAATAAAAACAACCGTTTATTTCAATTATTTATTTTGTTTGATTGAAACCTTAAAAATTATGCATATAAGTTACTATAATTTAAATAGACAAATTAATTTACGTATACGTTGGTTAGAACACTAGCTTTTTCCCGCCACTTCGAAAAAAAACAAATACAAAAGTAAGTAAGCTATGTTATCTGTGCCAAATTTCATCGAAATTCGTTCAGACACTTCGAAGATACCTCTAAGAAACATCCATCCATCTAAACTATCACATTTGTAATATTAGTTAAAATTTTATTAACTGTTTTAGGTTATTAATTTTATTTACTTTCTGCTATTTTCATATAAAATTACATGAATCACATTTGCTATCTATAGTTACATATGCATATGTACACAGAGTTTGCAAACAACATAATTCATAATATATATTATTCCTACAAGCTATGAGTAAATTCTTAATACACACACTCTTTGAACTAATTTCAGGTAGTCATCTATACTATTATAATAAAGCGTAAACACACACTTTTTTGTTGCCTAAGATCTCAGTAATTACAGCATATTTTTGAATAGTTCTTTTTTTTAATAAAAAGCCATACACTTACGTCATGCTTTAGGCTATATATATCACGCCATTAACTTAGGGGGTAAATATTTTGGATAAAAACCCTAATGCGGGAAAGAGACCACAAGTTGCTGCCAACATCAAGAATGAAAGATTTCTAAGGTCATGACATTTTGACATTTGCTATTGAGAAATGTAAACAATCAAATAAAATTTTCATAATTTCATGCGGATGAAGCCGCACGGGAACAGCTAGTAGAAATATAAAAAGATTAAACTATCACATCAAACATTTCTTTTGCTCAAACAAATACAAACTTAATATTTTTAAATAACGGTATGTAATACAATAATAATCAAAATGTAAAATTAAGTTTTGTCTACTATGATCGGGCTTTAGAAAACTTAAATATACATACGCTATAGCTAAAAAGTCACAATATTTAAATATCTTATACGATAAATAATCTTAAAGCGCGCACATCTTTGACAAAACTATCGCATAACTATTTAGTCACGTGTTGATTTCTATGAGCTTATATGGAAGTGCACGCTACCCGATTTTTAGCTGTGCAACTAAACTGTTAAATTGGCTGCAAAACAATCGACAACACACACTTGTGCAATAGTTTAGTCAAAAGTGTGCGCCCGCTTTAATAAATTGGTTTCTTACAACAAACTTTAGCGCCTGACCAAACAAGTACAGCAAAATTTATTTGGTAGCTGTGAATACATCCTAAATAAAGCGAACCTTTTTAACATTTCCAAACGCCTGCAGCATTACGTATATTTCGTTAAAATAAATATTTGCTCATACTTTTGATACAAATCTCTACTCTCGTTCGTTCTTTTCAGTAACAAGTTCGAAGTTCCTTTCGCGGTGATGAGTCTTCTTTACTTTGTATTCCATGACTTCTATTATCGTGTAGCCAGAGAATCCCAGTATAAGTAGACCTAGCAAGACGAACAGCCTGGAAAAAATAATAACAATGGCTATAATGGACAGAACTAGGATATTTTTTGGTAGATTTTATTTATTACAGATATTTAAGTATTAAAGTGTGGAACTGCAGTGAAATGTATTCTAAACTTAAGCGGTGATTTTAATGCTTACATCCTAACCTAAAAATATACGTCCCACAGAATATCACTCGCTGATTACTTACTTTATATCAAAGCGTTAACGTCCAATTTAGCATGGCTGTGTGACAGTTACTATTGTTTAAGTATACATCAAATCAAGTCAAGCACTACTTTATTTTTTTGTAAGAATATTCTTACCTCGTCCTAACACAGAGGTAAGGGGCTGAAGCGTAAGACAACACGCTGCCAGTGGACTCCCAGAGCCTGAAGTTAGAGAAGGCGGCTTCTTCGTCACCAGGAAACAGGATCCCGGATAGTGCTGAAAGATATTCACCAAGTCTATTAGCATATCAAACTATCTATACTAACATAACAAAGCGTAAACACGCACTACTTTGTGGCGTAGGATGTCAGCAATCACAGGATGTTTTTTAATATTTTTTTTCTTTAATAAAAAGCCCTACACTTATGACACGCTTTAAGCTATATATTTTCACGATATTAAACTTAGGGGTTAATGATTTGAAAAAAAAACCTTTATGTGGGGTCAAGGTTATGGTAACGGTAATTTAGACATTTGCAATTGGTAATTCGACAAATGTAAACAGTAAAGTAAAGTTTTTATAATTTCACGCGGATGAAGCCGCACAGGAACAGCTAGTCTAGAATGCAATGCAATTCTTAAGAAAATGTTTATACATTCTACTGTTAAGCAAAAATAGAGCATAGAAATTCATTTAAGGTAATCACCATTTACTTGCACGAGCCACACTGCATCAGCTGCCCCCCAGATAGCGGCGAGCACGAAGAATACAAGCCACTGGTCAGGGCTGGGCCGCCACAGTAACAATGCGCTTAACAGGCATAGGTTTAGAACCTGAAATTCAAAAGAGATATTTATATTCTGTGACAAGTACGATATTTAAAGTGAAAGGTCCCTTTTGTCTTTTTACTAACTTACTTATTACAGACATACTAAGATCATAGATGCGAAAATTTAGAGGGATGGATAGATATTTGGTAGAGATTGTAACCTAAACAGCTGAACGGTCTCGATGAAATTTGGCATAGATGTAAAGTACAGTCAGGAAGAACACATATTCTACTTACTTTTTTTTAATGTCACATGGAAGGAGTCGCGGGCAAAAGCTAGTAGTTAAACAACTTACCAAGGCGGTAAGCATGACGGGATATCTGCCGGTGATCTTGACAATAGCGCCGGCGAGCGGGGCGGCCAGCGCATTGAACACGCCGAAACAGATCATCACGAACCCGATGTTACTAATCCCGTATGCACATCCCACAAAAGCCTGCGAAGAAAAATGAATTGCATAAAAACTGTCAATCTTATTTAAATGACTGCCACTATATATAAATCTACTAAGATATTCTTCACTATCTTCAGTCTGTTCTAATTGAGTAAATAAAAACGAAGGTCACATTAGAAGTCTTACTCAAGCCTCTTTTCTAGTATATCTTTGGTGGTTGTCATGGTTTAGGTTGTTGGATTATTTAATGAAGATTGCATTAGGTTTCTTAGACTCTACCTGCGTAAAGTCCGCCGCCATGAATGCCTGCTCCGCGCCAATATACCCGATTACAGGCAGCAGCAGCAGCTGATACCGATGGCGAAGCTGCCGCAGCGTCACCGCCAGCAGTACTAGACCCGACTTGCCTTTACTCACCCCCGGTCGGTCACCGCTGTACCTAGAAGTATAACAAGAATATATAAGATTTATTATACAGGATGTTTGGTAGTTACTTTATTATACCTTTACTCACTGACAATTACTATCAGTTTTGACAAAAATAAACATTGTACCTTTTTAAGGAGTCAACGCCAACAAACACCAGGATTACAGCGAAGGCCATACAGGCTAAGTACACCGCTGCGATCACTTGGATTTTCAGAGGCGATGGTGGTTCAAGGTTTCTGTTTTCCTACAAAATAAGACAGATAATACGATAACTTAATTGTAAAGCAAATACAAACACTGTTATAGAAATAAGGACATACGTCGTATAGGGCGACGTCTTTTTACTTACATGTCCAGTAGAGCCGCTGCAAAAGTTGACACCACACGTGGCTCCGAAGTCCACAGTTGGTAGTGAGATATTGCTGACCAGATCTGATGTACTTGACACAAGCGTATCATTCAGGTAGGTCACCGTCTCGCCCAGAGAAGACGATAAAACTATTAATAAAGAAAATAAAAATATAAAACCGTCAACCAATAAAAAATTATTAATCAATACCTTACAACTGATGGTTAAGATTGACGGTAGTCAAATATTTAAAAACATAATAATTAACTACTCCACGCATTCCTCAATTTGTTGGGCAATATCAAGAACACGTCGGGAATAAATAGAATGAAAAAAAAATCCAAATTACATTTAACCAAGCCCTTAAAAGTTACTTGTTGTATTGCATAATCCTTGACCTTCAAGAACTTGTCTATGTCAAGTCAAGGTCGCTGTGTACTTCCGTCAGCGATGTCAAAAACAAAACTATGTCTATGATCGTTACTCGACAAATGCCTGTCTCCGTTTCCTTGTTCTATATTTAAAGCTAAAATTTAATTTTGCACAATCAACTTGTTACGTACGCGTGGGTTGGTTGGTATTTACGGTCACAAGCTTATAAACGAAATTCCTTGAATGAACATAACTAATTTTCTTGTATCTAGTTTTAGTAATTGAATACATTTTTTTTTTCAAGAAACTTTCTACATACTATCAATGAAGTCCGCTTCATACGCTCAGTTCGAACTGACAGTTGGCCTGTAGCTAATCTTTCGCATAGTAATGTTTTTGTTTTATTTTTAAATGTGTTTTCTGATACCTATTTTTAGTATTAATCGACCTTCCACTCTAAAAATAAAAATATCTTTATATAAGTAAACATAACTTACTTGCTGACGAAACAAGGTTTCCCCAGATCTGTGCCATTTGGTAGAACATGAAGAATAAACCGAAAAACCTAACGACCAGCACATCCGCTGAAATTCCCGACAGTTTTGCATACGGTTCTGCAACCTGAAATATTAAACGCACTTTGGAGAAAGAGATAAAGTAATCAAATAAAAAGTCGTTTACCTCATAATTGTTTTTTTTAACAGTTTAAATGTCACTAACAAACCTTCGTAACCTAACAATTATACATGATAACAGTTGGTTTTGATTTCACAGATTAATTTTTATGTAAAATCTGAACAGATTACTACAAATTACTTTTGAATCAATTGTAACATAATAAAATCATTTATAGTTTAAAGTGTACTTTATACGTATTTTTAACAAGTTTCTTGATACTTTAAGTTAAATTGAATTATTACATCAAAACGCATGTAATAAAAACAAAAACATACTTAGCAATTCAATCCTAATAGTAAATGTAAATTATTAATATCACGTTATTTCGTTCCACGTCAATAACGATTTGCATATAATTAAGATTATTGTGGAATCCATAATAAAGCCGAATCAATCACAATAGACGTTACTATGACAGCACATACGCATTAATTTACTACAAGAGCGCGCGAACACCTTTGACTAATCTATCGCACAACTGTTTAGTAGCGCTTTAATTCTTATTAGCTTACGAGCTGTTGCCCGCGACTTCGTCCGCGTGGTATTAGAAAACATACAAACTATATAAACTACAAAAAGCTACGTATCCCTCGGGAACCGGACATTTCTCGGGGATGAAGGTTATCCCACGTGTACTCCAGACTTTGTTTTATATCTGTGCCAAATTTCAATAAGATATGTTGAACCGCTGCAGAATGATCGAGTAAACATTAAAAAACTAAATTAATGAATCCCACGGGAACCGTAACTATTCCAGGGATAAAAAGTAGCCTATGTGTTCTTCCAGACTATGCTATAATCCTGTGCCAAATTTCATGGAGATCCGTTCAGCCGTTTAGGCTACGAACGCTAACAAACATCCATCCATCCATCCATCTAAACTTTCGCATTTATAATATTAGTAAGATAAGATATGGAGATGCACACTACTCCATTTTTAGTTGTGCAACTAAACAGTTGAATGAGCTGCGAAACAACCGACAATCGTGCTATAGGTTAGTCAAAGGTGTGCGCCCGCTCTTACCTTACAAAGTACAATGGACAGAATGATACTTTAAAATATATTCGGGAACATCGTATGTCTAAATATGTATGAAATTTAAATATCTCGCCGATTAATCCATCCTTAGATACTAATAAGGCAGTGATTATTTGTTAAAATAACCTTGAACACCAGACCAATGTCCCTTTAGTTTCAAAACAAAGGAATTAAAGTTCAATAACCTTCTCTTGATGGAAAGCTTTAATAAGTAAGAAAGAATTTGCATAGATAATAATGTTCGTAAAAAGCAACTATCCTTTATAAGAGTTGTATAGCTTTCGCCAGCAACTCCGTCCACGTGGAATTTAAAAAAAGGCACACGCCTTTGTGTTCTTCCAGACTATTCTCTACATCTATGCCAAATTTCATCGAAATCCGTTCAGCCTTTTAAGCTACAAACTCTAACAAACATCCATCTATCTAAACGTTCACATTTATAATATTAGTAAGATATTTAAGTAAATATAAATTAAGGGCGATACAACCATAAAAAGAGATTTCTGAATTCAAATATTGTTTTTATTTTTAAACTTGTATTGCAATAATTCAATGTATCCGCCTTCAAGTCCGCTTAAATCAGATCCGATATAATGTCCGGGTACGAACGTGCGAATGTTTTTAATTATTTTTTTAAATATATTTAAAACAAGTTGAGTAAATTGTAATGTTTTAAAACTTGCAATTTTTTTAACACTAGAAATACTGCTAGAAGTAATCCGTATTCTGTGCAACTCTTCTTTGATATGACAGCTGTTATTTTTCCTACAGTGGAAATACCTCTAGACAGATAATTCCACATAGTATTTCCTTATACAAAGTATCTAGAGGTTATTGTTTATTTTGTAGCTCTATAAATCTCGTAACTCACCACAGCAAGGTATGTACACTTGGCACACCAGAGCGGTCCCCCGCCGAAACCGACCATAAGTCCAGCAGGCACTAGTGTATAGAGTCTGGGATAAAACTGCGCCGCTATAAACGGCATGTACGCTATGAACGACAGAGCTATTGTCCATTTGCAACCCAGCCATCTGCACAAAGAAGGCTTTATTAGAAAACAAATTGAAGGGAATTCAAAGGAAGGAAAGAGGAAGTATAGAAATTCAACCACATTACAGTAAAAACAATGCAAGGTGAGCCCTGTCAGTCTAATTACCTAGGCCCATGTTATCTTAAATTCGATCCCTAAGGTAAGACGTGTATAAACTGACGATATATTAGGTTTATATTGTGTCCGCGATATATCAAGATATTATATTATGATGTTACGTGCAATGCTTAATATTTAAAAAATGACATCAACAATCAGTTCAAAAATTCTTACAAATCCACGATTGACCTTTATAGTTAATTGTAAAACCCCAATCTGTATAACAAACAAACAAATTAACAATTTGTAAGAGAGAGGGTGGAAGCTGTCGGCTGTAACCCCAAGGCGAACCGGTTCCGCTCTCCGAGTTTAATAAATTAATAACGCTGTTAACAATTAGGAATAAATAATTAAAATTTAAATTATTTTGCAAAACACAACTTGATAAATTCACCCTGGCCAGTAACGATTTCAAACTTACATCACTGTATGTATGCATATATATTTTTTTATATAAAAATAGTGGCCGCTTGTTCGTTTGCCAAGGTGGCATCCACCGAAATGGAAAGCGACCGTTGCCCATAAACATCCGCAATTGCAGATGCGTTGACTACCCTTAATTGACGGAGGAGGAGACGCACATAAAGAGGACATTTCCCCTTTCTATGCGTCTCCTCCACCGTCAAATCCACTTTTCCTTCCCATCCTTTCCTCTTAAAAAAGGGTTGAAAGGGAAAGGGACTAAAATTAGGCTTTCGGCGCCACACTCATCAGACGAAACATGGAATTGCTTCCATTTCACGCCTGTCTTCTGTGTGGTCGTGTTATTCCACCAGGCCAGCCGGCCCATTCGTGCGAAGATGTTAAAGCGGGCTCTACCACTGTTAAAAAAATAAATGAGAGTGTTATAAGTTTTGATTATCAATTTGCTTATTTAAGTGTTCTTCCCCTTTCCGACCTCTTCTAATAACATGTCCTTCCCTTTGTATATCCTATCTCTAACCTATAAAAAGTGATTAATAATTCGTTATATCAGTAATACGAAATACCTTTTGTTAGTTCTAATGTAAAGTAGTCAACCTAAAAGCTTTAAACTCACTTGATAACAATCGCTGGGAGGAAGATATTCGACAAGATAAGTGAGAAATATATCGCTGCGAGCGTAAATGTGCCCGCGCCAGCGTCACTGTTGACAGAGCTCTGGAGGTTGGCGGCGCCGTGGAACGCAGTGAACTGCACCATAAACGCAAAACCAAGCACTAAGATGTTCCGATTGATGCGCCATTTCTCGTTACTGCCAAACACCACTGGGCTAGCGATCGGCATTCTGTACAACCTGGGGAAAAAGATAGATTAAATTTGAAATGAAAAAACAATCTCACTTAGTTGAAAACAAGCTAAAACTTGCACAATTACTAATGAAAAACTCCCGTTGGGTCTAAACGTAGTCGCTTCATACTTCGGATTACACGCGAGTTGTGATTTTAATTAGTGTACAAAATTGTCATACTATCTATACTAATATAATAAAGTGTGAACACACACTTCTTTGTTGCCTAAGATGTCAGTAATTACAGCATATTTTCGAATAACTCTTTTTTTATAATAAAATGCCCTACACTTAAGACACGCTTTAGGCTATGCTATTTATTTTCACGCCGTTAAACTTATTGGTAAATATTTTGGATAAAAACCCTAATGTGAGTAAGAGACCATAAGTTGTTGCCAACATTAAGGCAGCAAGGTTGCCATGGTTTGACATCATGTCATGTCATTTTGACTTTTGCAATTGATAATTTGACAAATGTGAACAATAAAATGACATTATTATAATTTTTTGCGGATGAAGTCGCATGGGAACAGCTATTTTTTTAAAACAATGAAATGTAAAGTGCTCTATAAAGACCAAAGCTTATTTATTCATGATATATTTTATAAAAACTGTTATTAATGTAATTGCTTGTAGTTTATTATTCGAATACATCGTATTGAGAGATATGGAACACGCATAAGAACATGACTTGTTTATTAATAAATAAACACATTAGTACTTTATCTTAACACTAACGTAATGTCTAAGTTTATTCTAAAAAAAACTTTGATTAAAAAAAACCATCTAAAGCATTTAAGATAAGTAATCAAATAAAAAAATAATAAAGTAATCAAAAATGTACACTGCCTACGTCAATAATTATTTTAATAATGATTACGAATAAATACGGACAAACACGGACAACAATTTGGGTTTTACTCTGCTACAGTCATACCATTATGTATTTTTTTGCCAAACTGTCGCATAAATTCGCTTCCCTTGCGGTTTTATACATAATGCAAAAAAATCCACTAGTTTTGCTAACAATCAGACAATACCGCATAATTTAATATTATTATAAAAAAAATTAAACGCCAGTTGAAACACTTACTTATTTAAAAATATTTTTTCCAAAGTTATTTCTATTATGTCACTACTAGCCTTCGCCCGCGAGTCCGTCAGCGTGGAATTAAAAAAAACAAAAGCAAGTATGCATTCTTTCCGATTGTCCTTTACATCTACCATATACTAAATTTCATCGAAATCCGTTCAGCGCTTTAGGCTACAAACATCCATACATCCAACCATCTAAACTTTCGCATTTATAATATTACTAGCTGTTCCCATGTCGCTTCATCCTCATGAAATTATGATTTTGTTCACATATGTCAAATTATCTATAGCAAATGTCAAAATGACATGACACACCTTGGCAATCTTGCTTCCTTGATATTGGCAGCAACTTATGGTATCTTGCCCACATTAGGCTTTTTATCCAAAATATTTACCCCCTAAGTTTAATGGCATGATAACATATAACCTAAAGCGTGACGTAAGTGTAGAGCTTTTTAATAAAAATAGAATTATTCAAAAATATGCTGTAATTGCTGACATCTTAGGCAACAAAGAAGTGTGTGTTTACGCTTTATTATGATAGTATAGATAGATATAGATTATAGAAGTATAGATTATGAGAAGTATAGATTATGAGAAGTATAGATGACATTAGATCACATCACATACGATACAAGCGTAATCGTAAAAACATATCCACAAGACACGGAAAACATACAAACCTGTCAGGGATTTCCCTCAATAAATATACTTTAGTTGAATAAAGTTCAGATACGAGTATTCAAATCAATGCACGTAATTGCATACGACAATTGGAAATGAATCATCTTTAATATTATATAACTTGTAGGAAATAAAATAACATTAAGAGAAACTCTACTACCGCACAACTGTTTAGTCTCGCTTAGATTTCTTTGAGCTTATATGAGCACACACTAATCGATATTTGATTGTAAAACTAATCAGTTGTATTCTCTGCGAAACAATTGACAGTCGACAATCGCACAATATCTGTACAATAGTTTTGTCAAAAGTGTGCACCCGCTCTAAGAAGTATACTAGACCATAGTCTTGGAACTACAATAAATTACAGAAACACATATACAATCTTATAGACGTCCCTTTTATTTAATGTCGAAAAAGTAGAGACCTTAGAGAAAAATGTATATCTATTTATTACCAACGTTGGCAGTGGAAACTTACCCTTATTCATTCACATAAAATAATTGGTACAAAATTATCATATACTTCCTTGTCTACGAACAATAACACTAATCTAGTTTCTAAGTTTATTGCCTATTTCCGCTCTATATCTTTTCTAGGTTAAACATTTTATTGATCTTATTTATAATAATGTCAATATCCCTTAAAGCAGTAAACTTGCAATTAAAGAATAATAAATAAAAACTTTTATTGCTTGGTATTTTTATATTACTCTTAATAAAATATTTAACGCATGTATTACGGTGTTTATGCTGAATACCATTATTCTAGTAAATGTGGGACGGGACCTCTAGAAATTAATATTGCTATAAATTCAGCCAAACCGTTTGTTTGCATAGTCCTAAAAATCACTATATGTGTAAAACAAAATCGTTTACCGCTGTTTGCTTTTCCCTATGAATGCTGAGATCTTTAAAGCTACGTGACCGACTTTGATGACATTTTTCTATACTATTATAATAAAGCGTAAACACACACTTCGTTGTTGCCTAAAATATCAGCAATTACAGCATGTTTTTGAATAATTATTTTTTTAATAAAAATATTTACTGTTATGTCATGCTTAAGGCTATATATTTTCACGGCATTAAACTTAGGGAGTAAATATTTTGGATAAAAACCTCAATATGGGAAAGAGACCATAAGTTGATGCCAACATCAAGAAAGAAAGATTGCTAATGTTTGTCATGTCATTTGATATTGGTAATTTAACAAATGTAATCAATAAAATAAAATTTTCATAATTTCATGCGGATGAAGCCGCACGGGAACAGCTAGTTATAAATAGAGCAGACCAAGATGAAGGCTTATATAATAAAAGTATACTACAATGTAGAGAGACACTGATAATTTTGGGGATTTCCAAAGTGTCGCTTGAAACGTTTTTGTACCAGTGGGCGAATTCGAAGCCGGGGCGGGACGCTTATATACGAGTATACTAATATTATAAAGGTGAAAACTTTGTTTAATTGTAATGAATAGGCTCAAAAACTACTGGGCTGATTTTAAATATTCTTTCACCGTTAGAGAGGTAATTTATCTGGTGAGAAACATAGGCTATATTTCTCATTTCTTTTTTATTATTTTTAAAGCTATTACTAAATAAAACTATGTTATGGGGTTCCGTAAATACTAGAAAATCTAGAAGCTTGCTCTGATGTTAAACATATTATTGGTTATTAATACTTTTAGATATTACTTGGCCAATGGATTCAACAAAATCTTTACAATAATGCGTATACGCATGGGTTCAGCCTCGATTGATCCAGACAAGAGTTGCATTGATAAAATGTGAAGTGAATTTATATTTATTGACCTTAAGCTAGGATTGGTCAAGGTCTGACAGTTATCTTGTAGTTTATTACATTTGATTGTTATCATGAAGTATGAAGTCTAGAATTGTTATTGCTAGTATTGCTTTTATTTTAATTGTTGATAAATTAAACCGGAACAAAATTAAACGTTCAAAAACTATGTTTTTTATTAATTATAATAAATAATTTGCTTTTGTTTGCAGTCTCACAACTGCTAATTAATAGACTGTGTTATGATTTTTAATTATATCAGTGTCTAATTTTACTTCATAACATTAAGGTTTCTGTTTCCTGTTTTTAACAAAGAAGTTTATAATAAACACAAATGTATGTTTGCGGTAATTCTAAAAAAGTTTAAAAAGCTATACATTATAGGCGCAAGGATTTAATTTAATTTAAAATTAATCGTTCAATGTAATGAACTTTTTGTCTGAATCTTAATCTAGCGATATAACAATCGACTTGACGTGACCAATTTTCTTTGACCTCTAATATTTGAAATGGGCAAATGTAACGAAACTTCCGTACTATTTGCATATGTATTGTTAAACCGGTTTATTTATATGAAATACTAGCTGTCGCCTGCGACTCCGTCCGCGTGGAATAAAAAAGACTATCCTCTACATCTATACCAAATTTCATCGAAATCCGTTCAGCCGTTTTGGCTACAAACTCGAACAAACATCCATCCATCCATGTAAACTTTCGCATTTATAATATTAGTATGAAAGTATGATGAATACAAAAATAATTAACAATATGAGTGAACGGATCGGTATAAAGCATAAAAAATAAAAAAATAATCTATTTTATACCGTTGGCTAGAATATGAAATATGAGGTCATATCGGACACGCTGATAGAAGTTGGCAAGGATTTTTGTCCTACGCTTACTTGTCCTGTAAAACACAACTTAAATCTCACATTATCCAACCTGATTAAAGACAGTCTTAAAAAAGTATGAAAGCCTTTTCTTACTCGTAGAAAATAACTTGATCAACACTTTAGTGTAGATTTACTATGAAAAAAATCAGATAAGGAATCAATACCGAAGGTCGACGTGACGTATCATATATACTTAGTTTAACTGTAAATAATGCTTACCCAATTACTAAGTGCGGACTAAAATATCGGACAATTATTGTGCGATTGTCGATTGTTTTGCAATTCAATTGTTTTATCGCCCAACTAAAAATCGAGTAGTGTGCGCACCTCCATATAAGCCCATATGTACCAAGAGACTAAACACTTGTGCGATAGTTTAGTTTCAAGTGTGCGCACGCTCTAACAATGCGTTTGAAAATTAAATAATTTGTGTTTATATGTTTCATGGTTGACCTTTCTCACGCTATTTTAAGTACCATTTCCTAATTCATAAGGTTATTGTTACATACGTGATAATTAACGTTTGGTGATGAAATCCTTCTCATCTTGCGATCTCTAGTCATGCGAAAAAGAGGTCAAAACAGTAAACAAAGCGATTTTTAATCCAAAATAATAAAGAAAATATTTGTATAAAAATTAACAAGTGGGTAAATATTTTTTTCCCAGTTTTAGCAAACTACAAAGGAACAAAACTGTTTAAGTTAAAAACCATTTTTACAAACTTTTAGAATATGTAAATATAGCTTACATTTTATTTTAAAATCAACTTACCTTTTAAAATATTCACTGTAAATATTAAAACTTTGTAACCAATCACAAGTGGCACTTAAGAAAGAATTTAATTTTATATCGATTATTAAAATCGATAATCGAAATAGGATCTCGAGCGCGGAGTGAACAATGAGGTAATAGGAACGTAACTAAGCTAAAAGCACCGGCGCAAGCGCAGCCTGCGGTCTGCAGCTGTGTGCGTTTCCATTGTACTAAACTGTAACGCGCGACAAACATATTTATAACTCATGTATGTCTTAAAAATAATATATCCATATTTGTTTTTTTGTATCAATTGTGATGGTAAAATTTAACAAAACATTTATGTTACAAAACTAGCTAGAAATTTAGTTAATACCATATGTAAAAATGACTACGAGCGCTTTATTTTTTCATATCCATGAGAAGACTAAGAAGCAAACAAACTGTTATGAACCTATTACTTTGAACGGCAAATGATATCAGCCGCCAAAATTAAATTCTTACAGTATGTCGTAACGTCTGGAAGTGGAAAACAAAATGAACGTTTTACAATTGTAGCATAATATATTAAAAACAAGTTTACCAATAGGTTTAGGTATTGTTAAGTTACTACTTAGTTGGCATTTTCGTATATATTCATGTTTTAAAACATCAATAAAACATTTTTATTTATTAATACAAGTACTAGAGAAATTATTACTATATAGTTACTGTTATACTTCCAAAGAGCCAGTTTTAAAATCAACCAGTGTTAGAAGACCTATCAACTGAATTCAAAATAAATATATCAAAATATGCACTATAAATTACTTTAAATTTGTTTTTTGCCCTTAGTAATAAAAATAACTAAAATGCCTTCATTTTATGTCTTAATAAACTATACTATTAATTTGCAATATTATTGTTAAATTGACATAATTTAATTAAGCAAAGCAAAATATCTCCGAAATGCAAAAGTGTGATAAGGTCATAGAATTAAGTAATTATGAATTTCCTTTCAAAATACATATACAAAAGAAACAACAAATTAACAAAAGTACATTTATTATAAAAAAAACACTTAACACTAAATTTATCACATATTATTCGACATTTTGAAACGCAAAATTTTCACAACCAATAGTATAAAGATCCTTCTTCTTCTCTTCTAATTTCTTCTTAGCTCTTCTATCTCTGTACTCGACGACAAAGTAGAGAGCGATGCCGATGATCATCATCACGATAAGCAGGTAGGTCTTGGCCCTGGTCCTCAAGTATGGAGATATGACGTAAGCAATGATGTACCCCACGGACTCCCACAACCTGAAGTTGGAAAACGCGGCCTCTTCTCTGCCCGGGAACAGGATTCCGTAATACGCTGTAAAAAATATTTTACATTATAAAAGTGTTAAAAAACTACGTAAAATACTAGGCTACACAATTTTAATTTATTTTAATAAATATCATACATTTCACAATTTAGTTATCAAGACCTCTACAAAACTGCGCGTTTATGATTCATAAAGCAAATATTCAAATAAACACATTTATTTTGGGTTATAGTTTCATCAAAATAAACTTAAATATTACTATAGTTTGTCTAAATAACTTAGTTTAGTTTGATAAATGACGCATATGAAGTTTCGAATTAAATTTGTATGAAGGCAAATGCCGTATTTAATAGACAGGTATCGTAGTGATGAAACAAACACCCATAGCGAACAATTATGAACTATCTAAAATTATTATTTTCTTATTAACTAATTTTGAGGATAATTCTATTATTGATTATAGTGTAGAGAATTCAGCAATGACGGAAATAATAGCGAAATCCAATTTGATTACGTAGGCTGCAGTAGTAATAAACATTTGCTTACTCTTATTATTTGTTATGAATTTGAATTTGTTATGAATACTCTTATTAGTTGTTATTAATTTGAGAAAACAATGTTTTTTTTTTGAAATTCATAAGTTCTATCGATTCCAACTTCTATAAGAATAAAAATCGAAAATCGATAAGATTCAACTAATTTTACACAACCCATTCCTACTAAATTTGAAGTGAATTGTCAAACTAATCTAATTTATTTAGACACACTATAAACTGATACTATTTATTTCGACTCGATATATCGTCTTATTTTTTAAAACTTTACATAAAAAGTTTTATAATAAAAGTATATCTAATTATTTTTATATAAATGAATCCTTCAATGAAGTGACCTGTATTTTCTCCATCCACTAAAAGACATAGCATTTCTTAATTTAGTAGTCACTTTTGTATTTATATATTATAGTTACCATTTATCTGCACAATCCAAACGGAGTCACACAATCCCCAGAGTATAGCAATCACGTATAGGACATATTCCTCGCTGGGATGCGGCCGCCATGTCAGAATGGACACAAACAACCCCGCCTGGACGATAGCCGCTGTGCATAGCAATGGCAAGCGACCAGTCACCTAAAAGTTATATACCAGCTTGAGTCAACATGAACCAATGTCTGTTTCACCACCAAACGCAATAATGAATCTTTTTCTCCTTAACTCATATGACATTTTCGCTATTGCGAAGCTTACCTTCGCTATGTATCCTGTAACAACGCAACCGATCGCGTCAGCAACCCCATACGTCATCATAACGAAACCCACAGTACCTGTGCCGATAGCGCATGATACAAATGCCTGGAAATTAGGAACGCCTGATAAAAAAAAATACCAAAATAGTTTGGAAACATTTGCTCCAAAAATAATGTAAGTAAAAAATATACTTTCAAAAGATAATAGCAAAGAAACTTAAAGATAACAAACTTGTGAATTTGCTCACGTATTTTTTAAATCCACTATTAATTAAATAAACGCTCGAGAAAGAATTTGGAACTTGTTAGTCCTTAATAGGGATATATTAAAGACGTATTTAACCTATTTAAGAGAGAACTTACTGCGGTAAAATCTGCACCAAAGAACGCCTGTTGTAATCCAATAAAGACGTTTATAATGACGAGCATCAACTGGTTGGGTTCTATGAGCAACTTGAGTGTTACAACTAGTAACGCCATGCCGGACATTCCTGAACCTGACCCGGAACGCCCCGTATCGTATCTGAAGATATTGAAAATAGTAAATTAGTACAAACACAACTAAAGATTTCAAATAAACTCCCAAAATAAATGAATTAAGAATAACCTTTTCATGGAATCCACACCAACAGCAACAATAAGCGCAGCACCAGCCATACATGCCAAGTATATCCCTGAAATAGAAAATAGTTAAGTAAAGAAAATTTGTATACTTTTGTAAATTGCAATGAAGATAATGCCAGAAGTAAAACTATTGAAATCTAATATTAAATAACCAGCTGTTGTTTACAGCTTCCTCCGCGTGAAATTAAGAAATATAAAAAATATAGCCTATGTTACTCAGAGATAAATTGTCTTTCGAGTGGTGAAAGAATTTTCGAAATCGTTTGCGTTATTCAAATACATACAAAAATACAAATATTTCCAGATTATAATATTATTCTAGATTGTTTTAGGAGACAGAACCACAAGTCGATAAAGCAAAGCATTCTGAGAATATTCAGAGAGTACAACAGAAAAAATCTAATTTCTACTTTAGGTCATATAGGTCACAACCACCTTTTTCTAGTTATACGTTTCCTCTAGCATGAACGCAACTGCTGTACAAGACGCTTAGTGGAAATGGGCATTTGATTCACTGTTCTGTAGGTAAATAATATTTGGTTCTCCCAATGTTGTTTCTCACCAACGATCATCTGTATTTTCTCAGGTGGCTGTGGCTGTAATGCATCGCCAGCGTCAGCGCTTGGCAGAAAGTTGGCTCCGCACAGCTCCGGGATAAGGGATTCATTGAGCGCGGTCACCGCCGCCTCGTTGTCACCTGATGAGAGGACTGCAAAAAACAATTTGTAGAATTATTTAAATGGGATATTAGTGCTTTGAAGAACATTATGCCTCAACAACGACATGGAATAAAAGGCTCAAATTTCATTTCTTAGTTAAACGTTTACCTTCTTAATAATCTCCGGATTTTATCACCTAGTTAGTAATAAAAGATGTTATCCTAGACTTCTAGAGTGTAATAGAGTTTTATCTTAAGTATGATTTTGGGATTATGTGATAACCCTACTGCTTTGTTAATGATCAAATAGCAAGAACAAATCTTTGCTATTAAATTCGCAAGCCATACAGTAAGCGAAGATTAGCAATAATCAAAATAAACAGGATGTTTGCTGTATTTTACCGTTTGCATTATTTTATACTGAACTAACATTGCTAAGTTTAGCCTCTTTAAGCTTAATATTTTATAATTACATAACATTTGTTGCATTAAAAGACTAAAGAAATGGAAGAAAACACGTTACAAAAATGACAATCATCATATTCCTCCTTATCCTACTCCCGTAGTGACACGGCAAGTTTTTCTCCTCCACATAACTCACTCCCTTCTTGATCATGTCCCCGTTAACAATTCAATATTAAAATTACAAATTTTTATATTGATAGCTAAATAAATATTGTTTTTTTTTATGGAATTTATGTTAAAATTGTATCATAACTATAATATATTGCCATCGATCGTGACATCAAAACAAATTGCCGACTAAGATTACCTTTAGATCGTTAATTCTTGTCTTATTAGTCTATCGTTGAGTGCAATTACGCAAGTTAACTAATGGGTATTTGATATCAAAATTAGGTTAATACTGATTGTAAGACATTAAAATTTGCTCAGAGTATAAAGTAGGTTTTAACACGAACATTTATTAAAGTCTCGATAGAAAAGATAAATTTTCTTAAAAAGAATATGTAAATCGTTATTAGCAGCCTCTACAATAAACATTTAGTTCGTTTTTCAAATATTTTGTTACCATATTTTTAAACAAATAAAAACGACAACAAATATCTTTTTTTTATTTGATTCCTATTTTATAATCTAAAAATATCTACATAGGTAGTTAAGACTTCTTTTCCACCAGTGCGTCCGACTTAAATATATTAGTGAAAAAGGAGTCTAATACACTCACCTAAAGAAGAAATGAGATTTCCCCAGACTTGATTTAACTGGAATATCATGAAGAATAATCCGAGGAACCGTGTAAGCAGCGCCTCCGCTGAAATATTCGATATCTTGCTGTGCGCTTCTGATACCTGAAATTATACATTTAAAAAATTAATTAATATGAAAATTGTTAATATATACAATTTTCAAAGAGTTTATTTTTATGTCTCATATTTTATGGGTATTTTATGCTATGTCTTGAGATTTAAAAATCCATTCCAAAACATTTACAATTTACTTACAATATTTTGAATTTACGTTCACATACATCAAAGTACTTATACCTATATTAAGTTAAATACAATGAACAAAAGGACGTGTGAATCTTCACAACAATGTTGATATTTTACGATCTCTTTTAACATCCGAAGACATCAGACAATAACTCATTGACCACGACTCTACTCGAAAACAATAACGACATAACTATACAGTTCTGCTAATTATAATAATGTAATACACAAGTAACTAAATTAGTAAGGTCTAAGTAAGAAAGAGATTTTTGACTTCTGACCTTGAGAAACTTTGTTGTGTTTTAAGTCGAAGTGACATTTGAGCGTATGTTATGAATGGAATAGACGATTGACGTCAATTGTCTATTGACAACTTCGGTCGCGTTTTAGTCGCTCGAAAATGGTCGTAATTTTATTTTATTATTTTTAGCTCAATGGTAGAATATTTTCGCGTCAATTTTTTTTGCGGTTATTTTATAACAAGTAGAATCATTTAAAAAAAGAAAAAAATACATGCATATTCCCTATTGTTACGCTGCAAATTCAACATTTTAGTAGCACAACTAAAAATCGAGTAGTGGGCGCACCTCCATATAAGCTCATAGAAAGCGAGACTTTGCAGTTGTAAGATAGTTTAGTCGAAGGTGTAAACCTAATATGCATGTTCTTTAAATGTTAAAGAGGCAAAGGTAGGTGCAAATATTGCGCCAATTAGAAGTCTATAGCCACTTTTATTTGATACAGGCATTGTATTGTAAATATACTCACAACAGATAAATAAGTGCATTTCGAGCACCAGAGTGGGCCGCCGCCGAAGCCCACGAACAGTCCAGCTGGTATGAGGGTCCAGAAGCGAGGCAGCAGCTGTGCAGCGATGTAAGGCATATACGTGACGAATGACACTGCCATAGCCCACTTCGTACCCAGCCATCTGCACACGAATCACAGTCAAAGTTTTCTTTAGCATGAGTCTCTGCAACACTCGAACATGGGTATCATCCCTCTTGTTTGCTATTATTGGATAAAGAGGGAGGACAATATTTTATGTACATATAATACATGAAGTGGGAACATACTGTGAACTAAAGATATTTACATAAATCTAGTTAAGGATAAATTCACTCGAAAATATGAATTCGGGTCGTCAACAAATTCAATCATTCTTGTAAATATGAAAATACTCAAAATGCGTTATTCATCATCCACTTGGCGTTATCCATTACGGAGGGTCGGCACAGTATGTGCTGCTCTTCCATACATCTCTATCAGCCGTCATATCTGAATCCACTCCGTTCTTAAGCATATCCTCTTTCACACAATCCATCCATACTTTCATCAGTCTTCTACTTTTGGAGCCATCCACATTCAATCTTAACACTTTCAACTCTAAAAGCGATATTATAAAAATAAAAAAAACGTAATAAAAACCGCATAATTGATTCCGTTGTGTATTCGTGTATACTACATATACAAAGTTGATAGGTTTCAGGATAAAAGCAAAGAAGCATTTAAATTCTTTAATATGCGCAAAGTACTCTGACATATAACACACCTTTTATCTTTAAAAAAAAGTAGAAATGTAATGCTTTAAATAAGGAACTGTGGAAAAAATTCTCTAAAAGTATTATTCGGCCAAGACAAAAAGGCGATACATATTACCTCAAAATTACTTAGATAATTAGATATGAGAAAACGGAATTGTGTCCTTGACATTCGTTAAAAAACAAGTTTCGAGTCCATACGCTTGGCTAGTTCATCTTACACCTTAAATTTATTAGGAATCCATTAAAGACATAATTTCGTATGGTTAAGCGATACTCTATTAACAATTATTTTGCTTGAGATACATACATGAGTATGCTAAAATAAATCACAAGAGAACACAACCTAAGATTCCATGCTTCCTGGTAGCTCTAAACAGGGATATTGAAGAAAGGTAGCACGTAGAGAGGTTCGTGTAAAGACAATATCTCGTAGCGTTACCACCTTCAGGTATGTTAAACAAAAGAAGTTCGTAGCTCTACAAAGATGTTATAAAAAAAACATACAGACGAATTGAGTCCCTCCTTTTGGGAAGTCGGTCAAAAAGAAGCATACTACCTCTACGAAAATCTTTGAAACATTCTTTACTTTATAATATTGCAGTAACACTTACTTTATAACGATAACTGGAAGGAAGATATTAGAGAAGATAAGTCCCGCGTACACGGCCGCAAGTGATGCCGTGCCCAGACCCGCCTCGGCATTTATTGAACTTTGTAGATTGGCTGCTCCCTGTAATAAAATGCTATCTTATTTATGGGTTGACAGATTAAATGACTTATTATAAACAAGTACGATAGTAAATTATTTCCAGTTAAATATCAAATTAATAAACAAATATTCCTTATTAGTTAACTAATGTATAAACTGATAACTGTGGACATCACATATTATTGCATATTAAACAGCTTATTAAATTTGTACATAACATTTCGACTGTCATGAAAAAAAGATGCAAAAGTACGTAATATAATCTTAATTAATATATAGAATTTAATCTCATAGGAATGTTCAAAAATATTTACATAGCAAAATATCAAATTCAGACAAGGTAAACATCAAAAAACAATCCTTGAAAAAGTCCTTACGTAGAATTTAAAATTCGTTATTTGAAGGTTATGTTTTTGTGACGCTACCGTCATATTATTACTTTTTGAGATATCCAAATACATATTAATTATTAACAATATTGAGAATATAAATTTAATTAAGAAAAATTATTGACGAGTATATATCATGTTTTAATATGTAAACGAGGGCATTTACGTCTTACCACTAACCATAAGCAAAATAAATTGTAATTTAACTGATCGATTCTGACGTCATCTGTCTCCACGAGCCCTGGGTCAGATTTATATTAGATAATAATGTATGAGCTAATAACTGGTAAAACAACCTTTCTTGTCACGCATACGTTGACTAGAAAGGTCGTCAATAATCAGGTTAATTATCTGCATAAAAAATATCAACGTTTAATCCGGATCTATTTCACGACATTTAGAAATACAAATTATTCAAAACATTTTACTGTCGTATTTTATTCAGGGCCTTTCTTTCGTTTCTTTTGTGATGAAAATTTACAGGGACAATAGTCGCAATACAAGGTCACTCAAAGGGCAAAAGGCAATTCTAATTTGTTTATCTTAAATCATAAATGTTGTTAGTCGTAACGATACCAAGGCAAGCGTAGAATTACTACGATTTAGTGGAAATTTGAAGAGCAGAATTAAAAGCTACAATTATCCTCATTTGCCACCTTTAGCAATAAAAAAAAGAACTCGTATTCGTTAGCTGATGTTATCGCTTATAAAATTCACCTACCGCGAGGTCAAACCGAGGGTACTCTTTACCCGTTGTGCTCTAGCGTAGAGCCATTTGGGGCGTCATAATAACCTATACAACTAGGCACCCACTGTCACTACATATTGTCAAACTTACTTGTCGTTACCGCTTATCTTAAATGAGACGTTATTGACGAAACTACAATAATATTGTCTAAATTGAACAATAATCTTCATATTCCATAACAAGGGTGCCAATTGATATGATTATGAGGCGTTTTAATAGAATAATACTTACACTGTACGCTGTGAACTGAACCATAAAAGCAATGCTGATAATGACCACATTCTTCAGTATCCTCCATGTTTCGTTCGATTTGAATTCCGGTGTATCTTGCTTCTTCGACATTGCACTTATTTTTAATTACTTGCACTAAATAACTATGTCAAGGCATTAATTTAAACTGCATTCAATTTCATGTATTCAAGTCAAAAAAGATATCACGTTTTAATTAGTCTCTTTTAAATATTTCAACTATAAAATAACAATCAGTTATAAGAACGTGTGTAAACGACGTTAATAGACTAACATTTTACCAACCAATATCTAAAACTTTATTTAAAGTTAACGTCTTAACAAAATAAATAAACACTGTGATGACCTTACTAATGACAGATTAGTATTAAAGTGATTAGAACCTCAGAACAAACATTTGTAATTTTCAAACACGTAATCATTTAATGTAAATTAAAGCATATATTTCTCTTACCAATATTATAAATGCGAAAGTTTAGATGGATGGATGTTTGTTGGAGTTTGTAGCCTAAACGGCTGAATGGATCTCGATGAAATTTGGTATAGACATTGAGGATAGTCTGGAAGAACACATAGGCTACTCAATTTTATATTTGTTAATTCCACGCGGACGGAGTCACGGGCGAAAGCTAGTTTCCGTATAATTTTGATTAAAAGAAACATAATCAATGTTAATGTTAAACTTGGATAGATTTAGTAATCGTTTATTTCGCATTTCATTTGTCTTTTTAACAGACCTATCCTTAAACTAAAAATTTCATGATCAACACCTCATTTGTAATGGAATTCATTTCTACATGTTACTTCATTATAAAAGAAATTCCAGTTCTGCAGCCCTTTGTTAGTTCATTAGCGACGGAATTCGCAATAATTCACACTAATTCTCAAACTGAACAATGGAATTATTAATTTTTAAACACGATAGTAATTTATAGCAATCCATTCACATGATATTAGCATAAAAAACTCGCAGATTCCGGTTAAGATAATGAACATACAAAAATAACATCGCAAATTATGAAAATATAGAAAAACGCTTTAATTACTCGAGACATCAAGATCTGAAAAATCACGAAGTAGTTAAATCGAAGGAGAATTCCGGAAAAAATTGGATTAATTATCAATTCTTCTTCATCATCATAATGAGATTTGAAGTAAATGTTTTTATTTCAACATATTTTTAAAACAATATAAAAAATATTACAAGCTAATAATTTACCTTATCCGCTAATGTCAATGTTATTCCAAAACTCTATAAATTCCATTGAAAATAAACTCTACCCAAACATTTGAAAGACGTTTAACAAGAAAAATATCTTTACAATATACGGTGACGTCATGCAGTAATATGTTATGACTAATCGCCTTTTAACTACCTTTTTGTTAGATATGGCCGAAACAATGTATTTGTCTCACGCTCCATCAGTATAATTAACATAGTAATGTTCTAATGAACGAGTTGTCGCAATATTTTTGAAATATGAACTTACTAAATCTAATAGAGATGACTGTCTAACGCGAAATGAAATCCGACTCGAAGGACCATTCGTATGGTACCTATAGAAAACCAATTTTGCTAAATTCTCTTCCGCGTCTGCTCTTTCCACTGTGAACAAATAATATTTCATATTCTTTAGTTTTTTGTATCTGAAAGAATTGGTATAAGAACTGAAGGATAAAAAACAATGGACTTCAAATATTAAAATGCTTTAATAATGCATTAAAAGGCTTGGCAGACATATCTTCTTATATCCAAATGAATAATGTAAATAAGGTCACGGTTATATTTTTTCTGATTTCTTTTAATAAACGTTTTTATCAGTTCATCTTTAAACGTATCGTTTAAAGATCAAACAGAACTTTTAAAATAAAAATAACTCGAGTTTTTGTTTAATTTTTTTTAAACTTTTAAATGTTACATAAATAATTAAAGACCCTGTAAATATACATTCTAATACGAAATCTATATTTGTAACGGAGTATGATAGGGCAACTCCAAATTCCAATAAGTGTTTGAACCCCGGAACGAGTGGACCGATTTTGATCGGTCTTTGACTGTAAGGTAGCTAGCTAGAAGACTGTAAGATGGACGCAGAAATGTAAACGACCATTTTTATTTATTTTCGAGCTAACGTAATTTCCCGGTGACGTAGTTCACCTTTATGTACTTTAAGGATAAAGTATAGGTGAACTTCCCAAAAATACACACGTCTTCATAAATTAAATAAAGGACCATTGGAAGACAGGCTTTAAAATATATTTCCATCTGAAAGGAAAGGTTACTGTCGGATGTTACTTCCTGTGTTTAACCATGATCATTGCTTTTCCGGAAGATTAAGGAAAAGATGGGATTATAGTTGATTCAACGCACGTTTTATCTTTACGCACCAAATACGTAGTCTGAATATTTACAATGTTTATTTTAATCCATATCTATACTCTATACTATTATACTAAAGCGTAAATACACACTTCTATATTGCCTAAGATGTCAGCAATTACAGCATATTTTTGAATGATTCTTTTTATTTAATAAAAAGCCCTACACTTACTACACAATTTAGGCTATATATTTTGACGCCATTAAATTTAAGGGGTAAATATTTTGGATAAAAACCCCAATGTGGGAAAGAGATGCTGTGGTTTGTCATCATGTCAATGTCATTTTGACATTTGCAAATGATAATTTGACACGTGTAAACAATAAAATAAAATTTTCATAACTTTATGCGGATGAAGTCGCACGGGAACAGCTAGTACTAATATATTACTGTTTTTAACAACAACAAATCAAGTCCATTAACAAAGTTAATATGTTAATTATGGTTTTTGTTATCTGTAGTAATAGGACGCGTAGAGTTTCGCCCCGAAATCGCATTGATGACAACTTACAAAGATGTTGGTAAAAAAACCTTGACACTCGAGTGAGGTTATAAATGAGTATATGAAATAGCTGTTCACCTTCACAAAGCTCTACAGAACTTATAATTCTACAATTAACTTGATTAATTAGATTCTTAACATAATTTCTAAATAGTTCCGCGCAAAATCTAGGACATTTAAATATTAAAGACTAGCTTTAGCCCGCGACTCCGTCCGCGTGGAATTAAAAAAGAAACAATATTAAGTAGCCTATGTATTCTTCTAGACTATGGTCTATACCTCTGCCAAATCTAATCGAGATCCATATATTTTAGGTTACAAACTAATAAACATCCATCCATCTAAACTTTCGCATTTATAATATTAGTAAGATAAGATAAGTAAGATGTCCGTCCCTTTATCCGTTAAATTAAATAAAAAATGTAATCTGTTGCAACTATTGTAGTTCTTGGGTGTACTAATCGTGATTATAAAACTGAAATCTGTTTGAATACCTTGAAACGTAAGTAAGGTCATTAGTAATGTGGTTACTATCTTATCCTTATTGATATAGCTTTAGGATTAAATGGGATCTGTGATAGAGATCTCAAATGAGTTTACGCAGACATATGACCTACATATCAGGTCGAGGTAATAATGAAAAATGTGTAGCAAAAGTTTATAACGCATATAAAATAATCTCTAACATTATAAAGAGGAAAAATTTGTGTAAGTAACTAAACACAAAAAATACTGGACCGATTTTGCTAATTCTTTTACTATTAGAAAGCTTCATTATAACGTAGGGTATGTAACTAGTTTTTTTTATTCCGCGCAAACGAATTTGCGAGCAAAAGCTCGGGGTAAATATTTTTTTAAGCGTTAATGTCTGTCGGTCTAAATGGATCTCGATTAAATTTGGCAGAGGTATAGACCATAGTCTAGAAGAATACATAGGCTACTTAATATTGCATATTTTTTAATTCCATGCGGACGGAGTCGCGGGCGAAAGCTAGTTATTAGATAAAAGGCATTCAAATTCAAGAATGACGACTTTCAAATGCATTAGAGTGTGGTAAAACGGATGAGTACTATATGGTAAAGCACATTATCTTGTACTTATAAAGAATCCGTGCTGGTCTTTTGTAAACTATACTTGTACCCCTTGATATTTAATTTGAACCTTAGACTCGTCTATAATTTGTTGATTGCGGTAATGCTGTTCTGTTTCCACAGAGTATAATCAGCCTTACAAGAAGTATATATTTTAGATAACTGTTTAATGTCGGCCTGTGGTAATGTTAAGCGAGTTTTATTTATAAGCGAATTAACGCCGATTAGATTTTTTATATATCATAAGGTGAGAAACGAGCAAGCGACCACCTGAATCCGCCAAACTGGCGAAGTAACCGCTGCCTTCAGACATCCACAATAGTGGATGCGTTGCCTACTCTTAATCGACGGAGGAGAAGACGCACATAAAAAGGATATTTCCTTTGCGTCTCCTGCACCGTAAAATCCACGTTCCCTTCCCTTCTTCTTATAAGAAAAAAGGTGGGACGGGAAAAGGAATGAAATTCTTTTTTAAAATGCATATTTTAACACGTGAATTGTGATAAAGTATATCCCTTTCAATAGACAATGACCCTATTTAACACGTGTGTAAATTATAAAACATAAACACACGATCAAAGAACCTTCGTGTTTCAAATTATGCAATAAATGCCACCGTTGAAGTGATTATGTGGTAACGATAAAACATATCAGTAATTTGCTTTTAGTAATTTCGGTCTTACGGATATTTACAAGTTAGTTACTGATGTGAATGATGCGTACACAATTATAAGCCTATTTGTATCTCACGATTTTTTCGCCAACACAAAAAATATTAACGACAATATTATTCAAAATCTACAAGAAAATCACGTGGCAAGCGAGTAACGTGATAAATGTTAAGGCATTTTTTTTTCGAATATCAAAATTAATTCTTACGCAAAAAATCGAGTTTTTTGCCAGACGTAAAAAAAATATTTCAACAAAATATCAATGTTATCTACTTGAGTATTAAAAAAACTTTTGAAAAAATTACAACCATGAAAAAATAAATTGCGTTTTTTTTAGATGTATGTCAACAAATTATCAGTATTATCTAAAGCATTAAATAAAAACTTTTAATTTTTACATTCCTTTTTAGGTGTCATATATTCAGGTATTAAATTGAAGCTTAAATTGCAGAGGCATTGACCTTACTGGCTGCATTTCGCACCGTATGGCAATTAAAAGCCTAAAATTCAAGTTTGTAAAGCGGAATGTGAATAACCTTATCGCCTTTTTGGGGCCTGTACAATAAATGTCAGTGAATTTATCAAATGTTTTATTTTAAATAGCTTTTTGTGTGATAACATAAGGGGGCGTCCATAAATTACGTGTGGTGTTTTTTCAAATTTACTGCCCCTCCCTCCTTCCTGGTGAGATGTCGTGAGATTTTATCCAACCCCCTCCCCCGCCCCCAATTTTAAGTGAGATTTTTCAAAATGTACAATCTGGATTAAATGGACCAAAATAGTATATTTTTTGTTTTAATCAGAAAAAAAATTGCGTGATATTTGCAGAGACCCCCCCTATCTCCAATGTAAGATTAGATGAGTTTCACTTGACCCCCTTCCCCCTTGAACACCTCATGTAATTTATGGACGCCCCCTAAGGTGTAGGAACTCTTATATCGCCAAAAGGGGCCCAAAACAATTTTGAAGAATTTTTCGGACAATAGTTAATTTTTGGATCATCAATTAGCTATTTATGATGTTTATACGTGTTTTGTGGAAATTTAGCAATTTTCAGCAATATTAATTCCCGTCATATAGTAGTGCTCCTTAATTTTTTCTTTATGCTTATTTATACTAATAAAAAACTGGCCACTTAAGATGTCACTTTTTAATGGACACGCGAAAATAAAAAAATAACCGGTCATATACGTTGAATAATCATTTACAGTTTCGCACCGGTTTTGTGATATTCTCTGTTAACAACAATTTACAAATCACTGTTATCTATTTATTCTGTATAGGGCATAATTTAAATACGTTATAAAATACTTTTTTGATATCTAGCAACTTAAGCGGTTACAAATTTATATTTACAGAAATATGTTTTAATTAATTTAAAATGTAACGTACTTTTTCAGATGAGCTCTATTTAATGTTTGACAACGATATTATAAACAATAATTTTAATCTTTGGTTTAAGGTCGGTAATACACGTGTAATACATAAAGATTATGACCAATGATCATATAACATTAGGCAACTTGCTCCAGTTTTGATAATAGTTACTTACATCTTCTTTTTTATACTTTACATTTTAAAAAAACTAAATTTCTTGATTTTTGAACGTGTTTTTTCAGTCTCCTCTACCTTTACTGGTTAGTGACGGCTGCTCCTTAAAAAGGGCTAAGGACCTTAGCGATTCAAACTATATTACCCTTATGTACAGTTTTAGTAAACAATATAATTGTATTGTACGTGACAATAAAGCAATAAAATATTGACAAATTACGATGTAATTGTTGACGATACAAGCGCATACTTTCGGATACAAATTTCCTCTGTTTTTAGTCACATAAATAAACGAAAACAACGACACAAGAATATGTATTAACTAATTTAAAAGATATTTAGCTGATAGCTCTACATAATTAAAGTAACTTAACAATTAAATCGCCATTTCAATATAAAACCTAATGATTGTGTCGTTAGTCATAATTTTAAAAGCGAAATTTCATTTACGTATATCCCGAACTAGCTATCTTTTTCGCTTTAAATTAAAAGTTTTCTTTTTTAAAATTCAACGTCTATATAACGAAAATTACTCATTCAGTAAAAACATTAAATATCACTATTGTTAAAATAAATTAAGATAAATAAACTAAAACATGAATAAACAAACACACAATGGACGCCAACGGACGCGGTTAGAAGAGCGCGAAAAGCGACGCGCGCGTGATAGATAGGACAAAATAGTGTTATTTATTAGAACCTTTGATGTTAAAATGTGGTACTTAATACCAACTGAGATAAAATGATAATTA